AAATAAAAAATTTATATCTTTATGTTTGAAGCCTGAAATGTGGCAAAAGGTTGAAAAGTTCAAGGGGGCCGAATACTTTCGCAAGGCACTGTATATCATGCAAAAAGCCCATTAGAGGGCGGTATTGAACTAGTAAATGCAGTATTAAACAGTTTCTTGTACTGGAGGTACTTAAAGAGTACATGAATCGATGAGTTTATCATCCAGTTTGGGAGATTAATAAATTGGAAATTTGAATCTGGAGGATCTACAATAAACTCTGTTCATTTACATAAGCAAGAGCATTTTTAGAAGTTTCCTTAGATTTTAATAGAAAACATTTATCCATTTTATTTTTCCAAGTAATATTAATGTAGTATAAAAATAAGAAAAAAAATGTAGCAAATTACATACACTATATTTTGTAAATATACTTTACAGAAAATCTGTTACTGTATGTTGAGGTACTGTATACATTTTTCTTTGTTTTCAAACATTTAATATTCAGTTTTATTTAAAAGCATTGATGACATTGATTAAAATAATTTAAAAAATATTGTGTTATAAGTGCCGTCAATTATATTTTTGCAAATTTCTTTGAACACTCATTCCTCTTTGTCATGTTAAGAATTCAGGTGAATTGACAAGGTTTGAGGATTTATTCTATTACTGTATATATACGGTACAGTAAGTTGACATTCATTTCATGAAGACACACATGAGTTGCTAGCAGAATCTGACTGATTACTCAAATGGGGGACTGGCAATAAGATAAGAAAGATACTAATAAGATCTTTTGAATATGAGGAATGACCAGAAATGGATAACATTTTGAATTGTTCTTTAGGTCATAATCTTTGTTTTCAGAAATATTATGACGGAGTGATCACTGCATTTCATAACTAGTTTTATTATCTTGGTTTACCAGTGACGAGTTTTTGTTAAGTTGATGTAAGTTAAATTAGCTTCCTTGACAGAGTCAGATAATACACTATCAATGTGATGAATTGTAAGAACGAAACAGATATAGAAGGAATCACCAGGAAAGAAGAAACCATACTGTATAAGTGACCCACGCAGGTACAGTTCTTTGCTGTATTGAAATTAGATTTTGAGCTATATTTACTTACCAATTGTTGTTAAAGTCTCCTACTTTATCCTCTTTTGTGGTCTCTTCAGGAAAAAGCCTGCAAGAGGCTCTGACATTTGGATGTCAAATTGCTGGAAAGAAGTGTGGTATTCATGGCTATGATGGGATTGTATAGCGGATCCCACAAAAGACAGATGCAAGTGGCTCAACTTCAGTTAAACTGGGAGTAAATCTAGAAGACATCTGCACTATGCTACAAAGAAATTCCTAGAATGAAACATACTCTAATGTTTAATGAATGCTGATTAAAAATCAAATTAGAACCATTACTTTGATGAAGTGCTGATGTGGAATATTGCCAGACAGATTACCAAGAGATGTGTGGCTATGTGGATCCTGAGAGCAAGGCTAGTCTTTTCAAACCAGCTACAGTATGTGATGTCATGTAATTTCTTTACAGATCCAATAATTTAAATCTCTTCTATCCACAAATCATCTTTAAGCCCATTTAAGAGATTAAATACACCAAGTCATTTTCCCTGCCCTTCTAACAAAGTGTTTCAATTGCAGTTGTACTTGTACTAAGTTCCTTAGTAACTTTTCCAGTTCTTTCAATTCTCAGTTATTTTTATTACTGTACTTGCACAATTGTTTATACAGTAACTTGTTTTAATAATTAATGATATTAAGATAACTTAATCTTGAGTTATAAAAATATAATAAGAAATTTCTGAATGAAAAAAAGATCTGAAGTCCCAGTTTTACTAATCGGGCCTTGTCAAGCCTCTTCAAGACTGAAAACAACATTGTAGCTTTTCAGTATTTTCTGTGCTGTGCAGTACCACCAACTTTCCCTCTGAAATTGAATCTAATGTTTCTATTGATCTGTATCCAGGGAAGTTGGGCTTTCACGAATTTGGAGGGCCTCTCCAAATAAAATACTTGGCTAGGGATCTGGAAAATGACGTGGTTATTCAGTTTCAACCCTGTAAGAAAATACCAAGGTAACAAAATACACTGTTTCCTTTTGAACTAAGAAGACAGTGATTTGAAACGTATTATTTCCTTTTCATGTATAAACATTTGTGTTCCTTTCATTCTAACAGAGTTGTTCTGATTTCTCACAAATCTATTGAATATACTTAACATTAGTGGTCCTAAAAGTAGCACTGTGGTGCAGTAAGTGAGTCAAGATTTCCCTATACAGTACCAACATGAGAGTGATATTTTAACAGGAAAAGCAGGTACAGTATACCACTATAGGCAAACACCTATAAGAGAGCATCACAAAGATGGAAGTACTATGTAAGTACTTCATTGTTCGTGAAAATTAGATAACTAAAGCTAATAAAATGCTTACAGTATATGACAATATGTAAGTCAAGCAAATAATAAACTGGGGAAAAAATCACAAAATTCGTATTGTATTTATTTTCTTCTTAAAACAGTTATTTGTTTCAGTGTATTGTATGTATAGTCAGATATTCATGTTACTTTTCCTAAATCAATATATAATATATAGCTAATTTGTCTTCTACTAATTTACATCCTGAAATTTGTACTCTCATGAAATTTTGGATTGCTTTAAAAATGCTTTATTAAACACCATTTCAGTAAAGTGATTCATAGAAATATTAAATCTAAAAGAATTCACAAGACAATATATCACTGCTTCAGATCAAAATATACTCTGGTGAACTTGACCATGCATACTGTAACTTATCAGGCTTTCTCTCCACTTAAATCAAGTAATGAATTAATAACATTTTTAACTATTGATGTATCAAATTTGCAGAATTTAAATTTCCTGACCAGTGAAGTTTAAATAGATCTTGTTTACACATGTTAAATTGCTAAGATTGTGAACTCAAGCAGTTGGAATGTTTTTGAGATAGTTCTGTCTAGACCCACACCTGCTGAAAGGTAATTGTCCTCGTATAGGAAATGTGCCCATCACTTTCCTATTTAGTTCTACAGAGTCACTGGTATATTGCTCCTAATAAGGCTATAACCTAGCCACCTGGATTTTTAAGGGGTGTTCTAAATGAATGGAGAGCTGGTCGAATGGATTTCTTTTCTTTTAAATGTTTGCCATAGCAATCCTGCTCTGAATCTTCAGCGGTACAGTATGGGTTACAGCATAGCCATGTGAACACTACTTTTTTCTTAAAAAATAACATGTAATTATCAATTATTTTTTTCTTACTGCACCCAATTCACTATTGTGACCAACTGGTGAATCACTTCTCTTACAACTGAAGTTCTCACACTGGGTCATGAATGATAATAGAAACACATGACTCCTCTAAAATGTGAGGTCATCTACTTTTCTCACTGTACACCCGCTGCTTAAACAACAGAACTGAGATGTCAGATAAAACATCAAATGCAGCTCTCATTTGAACTTATGCTGATACACAGCAAATTCAGGAAACCTTGCTAGACTTTGAATTCATTCAATTCCAGCAGCATTTAATCAATCCTGCTTCCTTTCGGACAGTGTGACAATGAATTCAGTATACTGGGTCATGTGCAACACATCAAGAAACATCCATATGCCTTCCAGGCAAAAAATCTAAACAAAAGCTGTGTGAAATTAAATACCTTTATTTGACCCACACGTGCAGATAAACAACGGAAAAGGAAAATACCGTGAGGAATTGCAGATTGAAGGTACACAAATTTATGGACACATTTCATATCATCAGAAGAAGATGCGCCAGTAAAAGTAACGGGACGCTGAGATTAAAAATAACCTACAAAAAAGGAGAAAATAGTGATAGGAAAGTTGTAGCACAAAAAAAAGATTTAAATACCTCTATCATTAAACCCTTTTTTATGGTGTGTGATATAAAAATAGTTCTTGGCTTCCAGTTTAATATATTACCCCCCACTCTAATTGAACCCCAGTTGGTCCAATGATCTAAAAGAATGAATAGGTAACAATAACCAGAACTTACTGAGAGCATTCTGGGACTGCACCTTAGTTAGAGAGCTTAGTTTTACGAGTGACTTTAAGATGCCATATTACCAAAGGGGATTCCACATCCCTGTCAGTGTCTGAGGTAAATCCAATTCAGTTTTTTAGTCTGGATCCAAAACAAGGGCAATGCTTTACTATTGCAAAGCATTGCTATTGTTTCCATGAAAAACAGCTTTGAGTGTTACATACAGTAGATAGAAAGTTATTGTTTGAAATTAATAAAAAAGCAGCATTTTCTTTTGTACAAATACTGTATTTGTGTGACATTTTGCAAAATGTCAGCAGTTTTGTTCATTGGTTTTGAGTCACAGTACTTGTTCTGTTTAATACTGATTAAATGTTAACCGAGCTGTAAAAATGACTTGTCTGACACAACAGATTTTAGAGATATTGATATTGTGACAGGGTGTGAACATCCACCAGTGGAGACCATGGTATCAAAAAATATGATCTAAGACTGTACATTATTAAACATCCAGATAAAGGATTAATCTGTTATTTTGCCAACACATTATTAAGCAATTAAGCAATAGCAGAACATTAATGCATGATTCTTTGAAATATATATTTTTAAAAAAATGTGTGTGTGCTGAAGCTACTGCCTTGTCATTTGCAATAAAGCAATTAACATTTCTAAAAAGCTCAGACAAGCTAGTACTATTTTCCCTTAAGATTTATATTGAATTACACTATTACACATATTGTATATGGAAATACTATGCTCAGCATCTTACATCCCAAGTATTAAACTCTAAATGGAAGCTCAAGCAATTATGCTGCAAAGAACAACCAAACTAAAGCATTTTTCAGGAATGAATCAGGAAAGCTCAGGTTAGTGCTGTATTCTGAAACTAATGTAGTACTTTTTAAAAAAAAAAAGTACTGAATACCTTTAGTGTTGAACAAGGCAGGTTAAGAAAGGTCTTTATTCAAGGATTCACAATTCTGAAGTTATCGATTAAACCAAACCACAGGAATACTTCAAAATCAATAAGGCACAAACGTGCACAGAATTTGCAGGTGTAATAGGCAGTGAAAATAGGAGGCACATCTTTACAAAAAATCTGAAGGAGTCTAAAACAAATTGCTGGGAATGAGGTTTAATACTTCAAAAAATTGCTTTAAAAAGCTATGAACCATCACAGCCATTACTCCCAGAGAAACATGAACATGTAAAATGTGAAAATGTTTTGGAGTGTGATTACAATTACTGCAGCGATGAAATTCTGGTGCATTTGATTAAAGTAAAAGAAAAACAAGGATTCCTTATACCACTACATAAATTAATGTTAGGATTATAAAAAATGTGTCTCAAACATACATTTAATATAATAATCACTGTTAAAACCACCAAAGTATACTTACAAAAGTCAAAAATATGTATCCTTTGAGGTTTGTGAAAGCTTTCAGTTTATCGACTTAATGGCAAGAAATAAACAGTAGTGCGAGTGTGAGCAACATCTAAGATTTAATCAAACTTCCAACTTAGCCTTAAAGACAGAAAACAGAAATGTATGGGTGGTGTGACATAAAAGGAAGCCCTTTGTATTAAACATTCAATGGAAGTCACTTAAGAACAATAATTATAATTCTGGTTTAAATGAGAAGGAAAAAGGCAATTCATCACTTTTAAAATTTAAGGAAAGGAATCACAGGATAACAACTCACCACATGAAAGGCCCCAAAAAAGTATGAAAAAGATTGTGTATGATTTATTTCTTCAATTATGTAAGTAACATCTTTCTAGTTTTAGTTAGATCAAGGCACTTCTGTTGTTAGATTATATAGCTTTACAATTTGCCTGTGCAGTCTGTATTCTTGTGAGGTTAAATGAAGTAAAAGTCATGGCACACAAAGAGGCATAAAATAACATTCTTTAAAACATTAACCATCTTAACACCAACATGAAAGGTAGAAACACTACTTCATTCCCACCCAGATAGCAAGTAAGGCAGGTCACAAAATAAGCTTTGGCAAATTAAAAATTCATTAAGAATTCAGTGTCTATAGTGTATGCTACAAATCAAGACTGTTGTAGTTGCATTAGCGGAAGTGGGCTGGAAATCTTAGAAAAAGTTCCTCACACATCCAGATATGATTTTGGTCATAAACAATTGCATATTGTTTTTCCTGTCTTCCAGGAGCAGTTAATACTGTAGGTCTTTTAGCGTCAGTGGGTTAACAAGAAAAAAATGACAGCCATTCAGTGCCTTCTTTCATTGAGGATAAACATGGTTAATTGGTAGCCTTTTTGCTACCCTTATGTCTTATTTATTCAGGTTTTTCTCCCAAAACAAGGGGTTAAATGAGATCTTCATACAAAAGCATTCCACTGAAAATTGTGAGGGGCTCCACTGAGTCAGCCAACTTGCCCATAACCAAGTCAATACAGACAGTGTCTCCAATGTTCAAGGGCAGGATAATGTTGAAGACTGCTAGAGAACCTGGGGTGGGTTTATTTTCTGCCACAGGTTTGTTCTCCAGGCCCTCTGGCTGGTAGCCTGCAGAATCCACTCTTAAAATCCCATAGTTTGATTTGGAGAGGACAGCTTCAATCTTCTCATTCTTGTGGCCTGTCAAGATGGCACTGAAGTAGTACCGTCCATCGTATGGTGCAGTAAAGATTCCTAGGAAAACAAAAATAGGTAAGAAACTGCTGACTTGTAATAAGGAGCTTACCAGCTTTGTTAAAGCCTTGATCTCTTCAGATAGCATTAAACACAACTACAGTCATAAGTAACCTTCAGGTAATTTTATTAATGTGCAATGAGTTTCATTTTCTATGTGGTCAAATTTAAAAGAAACAAAATATAAAACATTTTAGATGACTGAAAATAATACACAGAAATTAAAGTCAACATATATCTGTGTGTGTTTACTGCATGCTGCAATAGTTTTTCAGTCCATGCAAGCTTGGTTTTAAGTTTTAATTTTATTTTTTCTTTTGAACTCCATCACCTATTAAATCCCCTTGAGCAAAAAATACCTGTTGTAGGGTCGTAAAAACCTCCGTCGTTCACTAGTATCTTATCAAAGACAATAGTTCCAGAATTAACCAGGTTATGTGTCAGGCCAGCTGAAAAGGACACCCTTGGAGGCCGTGCATCTACACCAGGAAGACCTAGAGAAAGGAGGCAATATGGACACTGGCTTACTGAAAGACATACAAGATGTGTAGTTTTAATGATGGCATTTACACATCACATGCAGTCTCAAACACAACTACTGACACAATGTCCTGAATATGGCATACAGTAGTTGCAAAAAATAAAGATAACAGGACATTTCTGTGGAAGACACACACAATTTCCTGAGGCTGGACAAACAATCCTCAAAATCAAACCAGATTAAAAAAAATGCAATGTCCTTATGACAAGCATCCATCCATCCATTTTCTAACCACTCCTTCCAATTCAGGGTTGCAGGGGAGCTATCCCAGTGAGCAACGGGTACAAGTCAGGGTATACACTGGATGGGATGCCAGTCCTTTGTAGGGCATACACAGACATACACACACTCACATCAGGGCCAATTATCCCAGAAGCCAATTAACCTATCTCTTTGTATGGGTAGAAACCAGAGAAACCAAGGAGGAAACCCACATGAACAAGGGTTAAACATACAAGCTCCATACAAATAGTACACAGGTCCAGACTTGAACCTAAGGCAGCAACGCTAACAGCTGTGCTACTGTGGCACCTCTGACAAGCATCCTATTAAACAAATCTATGTAAAACCTAACTGGAGATTTCAATATATTACTGATTGCAGTCATGTTTTTAACCTGAAAGACAAGATTGTCATTCCCAGTATCTTTTGAAGATACTGAAGGTGAACTTCAAGGCAATAATGAGTTGAGTACAAAGCAGCTGGATGCTTAATGAAAGGGGTTGTAGGGGAATGGAAATGGCTGTATAGTAGTATCCTGGTAGTGCAAGGATTGTAAAGTGTAGCTGAAACATTACTGAATACAACAATGTATGAAAACATTCTGCAAAATTGCCAGAAGGTTTAGCTATCTATATGCCAATGACCCAATCTAAAACAAGCTGATGAAAAATTTTGCAACACTTTAAGAAATCAAAGATAAATATGGATTGAGTGAGAGGCAGCACTATTATAAATATCTGAAAGCTGTATTAAATGTCAGCATAAGGAAGATTTGAAATAGTAAAACATGGGTGTTAATATTTTAAATTCTACACATCACCTAGATACTAAATGATTTAAATGACAATTTAAGCAGAAACAGGTATTCAGTGGTACATAGATGGATATTTTGTGAAGTCATGCTACAGAAAGGGTTTTGAAAAGATGGCATACAGTACCTTGTTCACCTCTGAGGCCTGAAATAAAGAAAATAAAAATGAATGCTTATTGTTTTATAATTTATTTGATACTGTTTGATATTTGATATTGGCACCACTTGTGCCAAGATAAACTATGTTTTTAAGTGTTAGCTAATTATTCTTCAGAACAAGAGGTAATCTTTACTCAGTGGCATGTCACTTGTTTGGATAAAACTGCATTCCATTTTCATCCAGTATTTGCCAACTGCAGTTTGAATCAAATACCAAATAAATCAGCCGATCACTGATCAACAATACCGATTTCATATTCAGTACCTTCAGTGCCCACTGTCAATATAAGTTCCTATTCTATCTGAAGTAATAACAAATGCTAGCCTGTGAATCTTGCTATTTTAGTTGCAAAAATGTTAAAGAATTTCTAATTAACTTGATAAAATTACCGCTGAACAAACCATTACAAAATAAAATAAAATTGCAAACAAAGTTTACTTATGATTCTGACTTCATCGAGGGATTTTTGTGACTATCAAAACTATAGTAAAGCCAATTTCATTTCAAATTGTATTACATTAACTGGATTTACAGTGGATTTGCAGTATAATCAGCAAAAGATGCAAGAAAGAATTATAAATACTTCTTTACAACAGCTGGCCATCTATGGGTATATCCAGCTATATACAGTATATATACAGTACTGTATATTGCAATATACAGTATACTACAATATTGTAATATTGGTACAACATTAATAGGGATTGTATTCAGTTACAGCAAAATACAAAGAATTAATGGCAGTTACATTTATCTTATACTGTATACAGCTGTATTTATTAACTAGTATAATGGGCCATACTGTAACTGAGACATTTGTAACTAGAGTTTGATGGGCTGTCATGTCCTAGGAACTATGTGAAGTAAGGACACATACCTGGGGGACCTCTTTGTCCTTCTGGGCCTGTTCTGCCCACTGGCCCTTCTCTGCCTGGAGGCCCCTGTACCCCCTGAAGACCCCTCTCTCCCTTGGGACCAGGTGGCCCTGGGAGACCTAATGAAAAAATATAAAACCAGTGATATCACCACAGCTGAATTTATAAAACTGCTGTCACAAAAATTTCACAATGAACACACTATTCAATTTAGTGGAATTACTGTACATTTTGTAATTCCACTGATGGGAAGCCAAATTCTGCTTCTTTTAGCTATCTTTATAATCCAATGTAAGATACTGACTTTGGCAAGATGGTGATTGTGACTAGTTAGGTAAATAATAAGGCACATTAAGCAATGGAGAAGATGTTAGAAAAAAAACTGGAAAAGTATGGTGTATTAAGAGACTAGTCCTTTTAATGTTAAGCTTTTGCCACCCCAAAACCATGTAAGCAGTCTATGTTGGTGATTGATCAGTGGACATACAGTATAAGATAGTAATGCAAGTTAATGACAGAATTTCAATAAGAAACTCGGCCATCTCTGTCAGATATACTTGTAGCTTGTACTGTAGCTGTCAATATCCTTTTATACTCTCATGGATTCACCTGTGTAGGGTAATAGATTTTAAACCAATTAAACATAAATGTCTCAAAACTATTAATTTGTTAGTTTCTCAGAGATTATTGTGGGATGTAAACAACACCTGATGCAGTCTGTAGGTGATTTTATGTTGATATATTTTTATTTTTCAAGAGATGTATGCTTGCTGACAATACTGAGACCCTAAGGCATGGCAAGTACTTACTTGGAATCATTTTGTGTCCAGGTAAGATAGGCTGTGTATGACAGGTAAAATGGCAGATGTGATGTGATATGCTGGCTAGCATAACTGAATATGCTGCTCTACTCTGCCTAAAAACGACTAAAAAGTTCAGAATGCAAGAGAATGGAGTGGACAGTTTAGATATGTTCTGTTCATCTTAGGGTTGGAACCTGATTTAGTAATAAAATTAATTTAATTTTGCTGAGTGAATAAAGATGAGCAATGAATGATTGTGGCAATTAAAGATCTGTGTCACAATCGGTGAACATAGTGAAGTAGAGGCATTCAAATGGTTATGCTATAAAGTAACTATTAAAAAAGGTTTCATTGTCATAACATGCAAGGGAAAATTTTTGGAAGCTTATTGATAGTTTGACAACTAATATTCTAAACAATAGAGGGTTTAATAGAGAAAAAAGAGCAAATTTAACATAACATAAAGTAATACTATTGTATCAACTTTTTATGATGTTTGAAACATTTATAATGTTCAGAACTGATTATCCATGGTGTTCTGCAAAACAAAACTATTTAGATCAAAATTTACATGCATGCAATCACAGGCACTTAAGAACAGAAAATCTTAAGTTCTTTGAATAGCACTAAGGCCAATGATGTGTTTGGACACAGTAATTATAAAGATATTTAGAAGTACTATGACTCATACTTAACTCATATGATTTACCTATCTAGAAATTACAGGGTATTTCCTAATGCTTAGTAATCTGTAGGTGCAATCCTGGTACTTAGTTCTAATGATTCTGCGGAAGTCAGTAATAACAGATCCATTACTATGTTTGCAGCTGTGTCCAAAGTTTCTAAACATTGTAGCTAAGCAGCTTGATGGCACGTTCAGAGGATGAATATAATTTAAACACCTAAAGCAGTTTAGGTTTAGACCAAAGCACTTCACAGACACTTTTAATTATTTCCTCACAGGGAGAATAACATCTTTCCTTTAAAGTTTCCCTTTATTCTTTAGAAAGGATATAATCTCAGCCTAACAATGCTTAACCTTTGGGTTTGAAAGTAGAAGATTTCTTATTTATGTAAAATAATGCATCAAAATAGACTTTAGAATGGATGACATTTTACTGGATATAAAACAATGTGAACTTCCTTTCAGAATTCCGCATTGTGTGTCCCCTATGGCACAGCACTAGAGATGTTATTTTTTACTCTGTGTGTTAATGATTTCCTTGAGGCTTATTCTAGTGCTGAATTATTAACTCCATGGAACATCTTGTGCTGACATACAGATTAATGCTGAAAATATAGTTGAATGAGTAAACAGTCAGAATCTCACAAAACGTTACTAGCAAGTTAGCAGTTAAATTCTGTAATTTTTTTTAAGCTTTTCCTTTTCTACATAATTTTTGGGTATTTGAGCCAAAATAATTTATTATGATTTTATGAATTACATCATCTATTTATTTGTGGAAAGTACACATTGGTTTGGACCTACTGTAACACTTTCAATATTTGTACTATTAGTTTTACCCCCCAGGCAAATACATCTTTATAGTATATTTGTTAGTTTGAAATTATTTTTTTCCTGGTCCTTTTCCAAAAAAAAGGTAAGCAACACAATGCTGTAATTTCGAAATAACAGGTGTAATCCTATAATTGGCTGAGACTAAACTAATGAACAAAGTTCTTAATACACTCTTTTGCATATTTAATTGCATAGCCATCCAAAGAAGTTGATGAACGTGCTTCCTTTTATTAAAGGTAGATGCTTTCTTACAGGTGCGGTTCCTGAGTTAATTTAGCAACTATCATCCCATCATGCTTAGGATCATGTATAAAAAAGGCTGGACAGACCCAGCTGTCTCACTGGAAGCCTGGGTAGAAGAAGGGATCTCAGCAACATTAAGAAAGGGATAATTGTTGGGGCACATTTGCCAGGAGCTTCAGTGACAAATGCTTCTCAACGTGATGATGTTTCATGAGGAACAGTGGCCAACATGATGTTGACATGGACATGTGAGGAAAAAACATAATAAATTAGGGGCAACTGTGGATGAAAGTGCATACTCCTCAACCATGATGGCCGTGCATTGCTTTGAGATGCAAGTTAAATAGATGAACAAATCTGAATCAGTTGACTGGAAAGGTCAATCTAATGCATGAGCAGCATGTTTTCTTCATGTGCAGTCCATCAAGAACTTCACGAAGATAGGGCTGCATCATAAACATCTTATTACAGCTAAAAAAGGACTTTTGCAAGTAAAGTGGTGTAAAGAACACAAAAAACAACTGTTAGATGAGTCATACTACACCCTGTTTCTCAACAAGCAGACAAGAACATGTGTGGTGCACACCAAAAGACGCTTGAGAGTTTGTTTCCCATTATGAAGGGTTCTGGCAGCTCTGTTACGATATGGGGGTGCATTTTCCTGGCATGATTTAGGTCCACTCAAACCCTTAGAGGGCAAGATAAATGCCAATAAATACAAAGCCATTCTGATCATGTTCATCCAATGGTAAAGCATTTCTGTTCTGATGGAAGTGAAATCATGCCCCCAGCTTTCCCCAGTCTTGCCCCACTGGACAATGCCCCCACCCAGAGAGCATGAGTGGTCACTGAATGATTTGATGAGCAACGATGTAAACCATATACTGTACCATAACCATCCCAGTCACCAGATATCAACTGAATAGAACACTTATAGAAGGTTCTGAGGAATGTATTGGTAGTGCCTGAGACAGTGATTTTTGCCATCATCAACAAAACACCAGATTATAGAATTTGTCATGGAAGGATGGTGTTGCATCCCTGCAGCAGAGTTCTAGACACTTGTAGATTCAGTGCCAAGGTCCATTGAAGCTGTTTTGGCAGCTTGTGGTTTCCCAACACCTTATTAAGGCACTCTATGTTGGTGTTTCCTTTATGTTGGCTGTTACCTGTACTATATATACATTCCATTTACTGTCAAGTGTTTTGCTGCAGTTCTGCAACCCCATTGTCAGTGCTTCCTATATTATCATAGAAAGGCTTTGTAAACTGAATATATACAGTAGATGCAGAGAATGAGTAATTCTTTAAATTTAAAATCTTAAAAATACAATATACTCACCAATGAAGTCCTGACTTGTGAAGTTATTGAACTCATTGAATATGTAGAGCATAGAAGAGTTCAGGATTTTCAGTTTCCGATTAATCCCATCCAACTCTGTGCTCTGAATGATGTCAAATTGGGCACTGTGACTAGTCACAGTGGTGTTAAGCTTATTGACACAGTTCCAGAGACTGGATACATGCTTATTTAGACCATCCTTGATTTTCTGAAGGCTATCTGAGACAGAGTCCAGTTTTCCGCACAGGTTCTCCATTTTTGTGATCCTTTTTTCCAGTGCATTTGATGACTGCTTGCAGTCACCCATTTCTACCATGAAATTGTTGCCAAACCGATGAATCTCTTTACTGACATGGTCGAACCTCCCTTTGCTGTCTTCAATATGCTCGCTGACCTCCTGCTGAATTTTATCAATCTCAGAGATGATTTTATCTTTAGTGTTGCTCAGGTCATAAATGACACTACTGTGTGTTTGTATTGTGTGTTCCAGGCCTTTGAGAGTATCATTAATTGAACTGAATGTCAGAATAACCCCAGAAAGCTCTCCTTGAATAGAATTGAAGTTGGCATTGGATGGCCCACTGACACTGTAGCCATCCAATGGTTTCTGCTCATCACCAGTGGGCTTATTTAAAATGATCTTACACTGTCCACTGCATTTCTGTACCTCTTCCTTTAATTTTCCAACCTCCTCCTGTAAGGTTGAGCACACTTGAGAACAGGTTGTTTCATCAGAATCAATTTGATTTCGTAGGTTATTGAGATCTCTGTTCCACATATTAAAATTGTCATTGGTTTGGTTCCTCAGTGACATCAAGTCCCCTTCCAGGGAATTGCAGACATCACAGTTCTTAGATGTGACCTCCAGCGTATTTTCCAAGTCTTCAATATCATTAACTATCCTGTTGAAATGCTCACCATTCTCCCCTGTTAAAGCCTTTATTTTGCGGATTTCATGGCTGATACCCACAACTTTGTCAAATAAAGAATCTCCTGACACTGAAAGGTCCTTTATCCTATCATTAAATTTGCGTATCTCTCCTGTATTCTCAATGACCTTCCATTCTAAAGTCTTCACTGTGTCAACAACTTCATCTCCTGTCCCTGACCCACTGCTGCTGGTACAGGTTTTGTCACAACTATTTACCGCAGAAGCCAGTGAATCATTCAGGTTAGAAATCAGGTTTTCAAGTTCCTCAAGGTGCTCTTCATTAGCATAAACGGAGTCCTTTAAACCACTGACATCAATCTCTAAGTCAGAAATCTTTTTTCGGTCATCATCAAAATGAGTAATGAACTCATGCCTTATGTCACTTAGCTCCCTATGGAAATAGTCTTTCAGATCGTTTTCAACAGAGGCACACTGTTCTTCAGCTCTTTTTTCTGTGTTGTTCAGCCGTTCTTCTAGATCTTCCACATAGCTTCTGATATCATTTTTATTGTCCAGATGACCATTCACAATGTAGGTCTCTGATATTGAATCCATCTTTGTCTCAATGTCACTGACTTTGGTCCTAAGATCAGTAACTTGACTGCAACAGCTCTGGGACCTGGACAGATTCTCCTGAACACTCTCAAATGTCTGCCTGTTACGTTGATCCATGGAACTGATTTGCTTCTCTAGCCTTTGGATCCTTTCATGGTCTTCCTGCTGCTTCCTCCTAAGGTCCTCTATTCCAGACTGACAGGTTGAACAAAGTTTTATTCTCTGCTCCAAATCCTTGAGAATCTCTGATTTCAACTCTGTAAATTTCTTTTGCACCCTTATGTCAGTAGTGTCCAACTCATTGCCAGTCCCCTTTCCATTTGCTAAGTGATTGTTAATAATTACCAGTTTTTCATCATGTGCCTGTGTGCGGTTGTCCAGTTGATCAAGCTTCGTCTGAATAACATCAATAGTGTCCTTCATCTCTGAGTCTGCAGCGTCAAAATGTGTGTTGCCATTTAATCCTGGCTTGCGTATTTCCTCCTGGAATTTTTCATTTAGTCCACGCAAAGTGGACTGCAAATCATGGAGGTCTTTGGTTAGGCTCTGGATTTTGTCTTCTAGCTGTTTCACCTTGTCAGTGTCACCCCTACCTGTTGATAAGAACAAGGAACTGCCTTTTTAGTCTGCTTACAGAAAGCAAATGCTTCAAATAATATTTTACATTGAACAACAATGAGCATACTGTTCTCTCCCTTGGCTCTCAGTACATACTGTATCACATCCATAATTCTCAATATTCTGAGTATTGTAATTAGATAGTACTGTATATATTAACATATAATACTAATGTAACTAAAGGCACTTATCAACAAATGTATGCAGGTTTTTACCTTCTCCTCCAATTTGCACTGTCCCTGAGTTTGAACCGGTCTGCCCTGGACGTTTAGGACGAGGCCTGGCAGTAGAGATTTGGGTCACATGTGACTGTCCTCCACTAGGACCCTCACTGCAGTCATCTCCAGAGAAACCATGACAACATTTCCATTCCATCTCTGTGACCATCTTATAGGCCACTTTATACCTGGGCCTCATATATGTCCGATACCTGGAAAAAGAAAACATCAGAGGTGAAAGTATGTGTCATGTTGCTTCAAAATGAACCAGAGCAACTTAAATGCGATACTGCTGGTTGAAAACACTCTGGAAAAAGTGATGCATAACACAGCATAGGTATGTTTTAACCATTTTATTCATTTGATGTCTTTAGGTCCCATGTGGGAAATGCACTACTTCACATTGTTCTCTAAATGCATTTTTTTTCTAAAGCTAAATCAAACTTTTAAAAATATAAAAACATTAAATTTAAAAAGTTGAGTGAATGAAAGAACCTAGCATTCCTAATTATTTTTCCCTAATGTAAAATACATCATCCACTTAAGTGCACTGTAAAGCTCAAGTAAATGTATTCACCTTTGTATTTAAAATAGCAGCACAAAAGTAAGAAACCAACTGAAACTGCCATCCAGCACTGTTTGTGAATCAATCTTGCTCTTTACAAATGTAGTATAAGGATATACATTTACACATATATATGCTCCTTAAGTATCTTTTGTACTCTTTTTTAAAAATATTTTTGGGGATAGAAGTAATAAAAATAGCAACATAGAAAAACAATTCAGTTTTCCTCTGTGTTTCCCTCTTCCCATCCCAAGAACCAAACCCAAGTGGAAACCCCTCTCCCTTCCTCCCAATGCTTAACCCCTATACAGGTGGAAATCTGTTCCTTTCCAAACCACAGAGAACTGCCATAATTCCTATCCAAAGGAATGGGCTTAGTAAAATCAGACAGTCCAAAAATCAGACAGTCACTTCCTCAGCCCTGTGAAGCCATGTAAGCTCCATATGTACAAAGTCAAGAAAGGAAAGGGCCCACTGACACTGGGGAAAGGAATGTGGAAGCTGTAGGTGCTGAATGACCATCCTCTTAGCCACAGTGATATATCCAACCAAAGCTGCTACCGCAGCACAGATAAATCTAACAATGAGCATTTATTCAGAGATAGAAGCAGTGGAAAAGAAAAGAAACTTTAGCATTCTTAAATCATTTTCCCATATCCCAAAAGGACATTTTGCTTTGTAGCCTTTTTTCAAACCTAAAAAAAGAATTTATTGCACACATACTGTAAAGCCCATAAATTTGCTTTCTGCTGCCAGCATATATCATGCAAACCTAAAAATAAATTAACATCTGTCTTCCGTCTGTGAAATCTAATTGTTTCAATCAAGACACCAAAGAGCTGATCAAAGTGGTCACACTGTACAATGCTTAATTAAAAAATATACTGGTAATGGAAATGTCAATGTAACGAGTTAAGGGATTCTCTCTTCTGCCATAAATGTCTTTGTAGCTTGGAAACAGCATAATACTAGGCTGAAAACAATAACATTTTTGATTAAAAGCATCATTAAATATGATTAAGAATATGAAGCTAAAAACCTATTGCTTATAAAAAACATTTTTAAATTTTTATTCTGTAGTTGTATACTGTATATAGTTTTCATGTTCTTCTAATAAAATCCCATACAGACTGATAGTGTACTGAACGTAATTGGCTTTAATTGTAGATTCAGATTGCATGGTTAAACAGATTAGTCATTGTTAAGCAATTGTTATTGAGTTACATACTGTAATTGCATTCCAAAAATGTAGTCACGAATCATCATCCTAATATTGGATTTTTTTTTTCACACTGTAAGCTGTGTATTAACTTTGAAAACATATTTCACAGCAATGACATATCACAAGCTCCCTTTATTTGAATAGCCTTGTTTTCATTTCTACGGGCTAATACTTGTCCATTATGAGGGAACAGAAAACAAGTAGTTAGGATAACACATTCACAAAGCAGAAAAAACAGAGGTGTTAGAAGTAGTTTATTTTTTAAGGTTCCATGTGGTGGTTAATTGTGGTTTAGGAATTCAGTGCCTTGCCATTCTTTACATAGTATAGTATGCGAGTCCAATCTGGGCTAATGAAATTAAACATTTCCAGCTGGATATGTGCATGCTGGCTGTCATTGGAAAATGGATGCCAAATAGTAATTCTTGACACAGTCTTCAGCCCTAACACGTTCTACCAAAACGGCGACTATTCAGGATCATTTAAAGCTATACGTCATCTTCTTTACCACTGTTTGCCTGCTGGTTCCAGAGTTAAGTTTTTAAATGGCAAACAAACCAGCTGTTTATGTTGGCAGCAAGCTACATTCAATTTGGTTATTTTAATGTGCTGCTCAGGTTTACATTACAAGGCAAAATAAATCAACACTGATTTGTACCTTGAGCATGGTAATTTACCCTAGTTACTCCACTATAGCCAGCTGTATAAATGAGGACAAGCACTGCTGCAGGGGGAGTAGACTGCCATCTCATTCATTGGGGGTCATATGCTCTCAGTCCAGTTAATGCTTTGGTATGAGATGAGCTCTGGCCCAATACTATGCTCTTTACAGACTATGCCTCTCTTGTCCAAAAGATCTTTGCAAGTACCCATAGGACAAATCTGCCATGAATTATGGGTTTCAATTTGAAGCTGGTAGAGGCATACAAGGTTTTGATTTTATTCATGCACAGATGTTCTAAGTCAAGTGTTATTTCCTTCTAAGAAGTGGATCCAACTGCAAAGAATTAAAAGGAAAATAAAATGATGGGAAGTCTGAAGTATGTCTGGCTAGTCACCCACCTATAGTTCACCAACTATTAACTGTGGTTCATTTAAGAATTTCATAAGTCATTGTGGTGGTTTTCATGTTTTAGAACTGAAGTTTGAAATGGTGGTACATAGATTGGAATAGATTGGAACACCAGACCATTAATTTTACAGGCAAACAAATATTTTTTGCATTAAAAAGGCAAAAGCCAGCAGTAGCCAGTAATTACATCATACAGTATATCATCATACAGTATGCTGTTAACAGGAATCTGTAAAGTATGGAAAGATGCCACCTTTACTGCAAATTAAAAAAA